ATTTCATTTCATTTCATTTCATTTCATTTCATTTCATTTCATTTCATCATTCACTGATTTTAACCAGGGTTATCTGTGTAACCCTGTGAGTCTAGCAAACTCCACTGAAAACAAGGACTGTCCCTCTCTAGAATCTGTCAGTTGCTTATAGGTAGGCAGGGAGGGGAAGGGCCCTGAGCTCCCTTTCTCATCAGTGATTGGCTATTGACAGGCCCAGTCTTGTGCAGATCCAATGCAGGCAGCTGTAGCTGTTATACATTCTGTTTGCAATGATTGTGTTAACCCTAAAGATAGCGTTACAATGACTTCCTCCCTATCTTTTGGCTCTTCTATCTTTATCTTCTCTCTTCTATGATGTCCCTCTCATCCCCCAAACCCTAAGCCTTAGAGGCTGAAATGTCCTACTGAGAGGGCTAAGCACTCAATTACTCTAAGCACCTTGAACAACCACAAGCCTCAGCCTTCACTTTTGTCATGCTTATGCTGGAAGTGTGCACTGGAACTTTCCGCAATTTCTCTTCCTCTTCCTCTTCCTCTTCCTCTTCCTCTTCCTCTTCCTCTTCCTCTTCCTCTTCTCTTCTCTTCTCTTCTCTTCTCTTCTCTTCTCTTCTCTTCTCTTCTCTTCTCTTCTCTTCTCTTCTCTTCTCTTCCCTCCCTCCCTCCCTCCCTCCCTCCCTCCCAATCTGCTTTTGTACCATTTTAATTACATGCAACTATTAAGGTCAGTTCTAGGTTGAGGAACTAGAAATTCAATAGTAATAGTTTCCTGATTTCTTAAGTCATGAAGGTTAGATGGTCAATCTGAGATGCTTCATCATTTACATGTGTGCACAGCTGGGAATTCTTTGCATTTTGTTAGTTTTTGGTTTTCATTTTCCTTTATCTCATTTTTTCTAGTATCTATGATGGTTTCTTCATTAGCCAATTTTTAAAGATTATTGTTAAATTTCCATGTGTTTGTAAATTTTACAATTTTTTTGCTGTTAATTTCTATTTTATTCCACTGTAAGTAGAAAAATACTTTGATTTCAGTGTTTTAAAATTTATGAAAACTTGTTTTGTGGTCTAACATATGGTCTCTACTGGAAAATGGTCTATTTTGCCCAAGGAAAAATATATGTCAAGCTGTTTCAGGGTACTGTGTTGTTTGTTTGTCTTTTCTGGAGGATACCATATTTTATATAACTTCAGGTTATCTAGCATTCATTTTAACTTGGGGAATTAATTGCACACTAATCATGAAAGAATCAACTCTTTCAACTTTCCTTTGTCACAAATTTACTTTTGGAAACTTTTTTTTTCTAGATAAAGAGTTTCCAGTCAACAACTTTTTTCTTTCAGTGCTTTGAACATATTATCCCATTGTCTTTTGACCTGCAGCTGGGGTCTAC